AAATGGGAGGGGGGGGGGGGGGGGGGGGGGGGAAGAGTAGAAATACTTGCGGTCGCTTCATGCTACAGAAACCAGGCTAAGTGCCAGCCTGATGGGCCACTTGGCTTGTATGCAGACTTTACCTCAAACCAAAAATGCATCAAAATCACTGTGATAGTATCACTTTAACAATGCTGACTTACCTGTAAGCCAAAGAGAATAACTGTAGTCAGACCACACCAGCTATGCAGACTGTACAGGTTTGGAATGTTATTGTGGTTATGGAAATCAAACACTGCTTTTAATCCCCAAACTGCGATTGCAAATGCCACTAGCTGAAGACCAAAGTGAACCAACTTGACAAGGAACTTGTTCTCATGTCGGAACACTCTGTACACAATCATAGCTAAAAAAGGAAAAAGAGTTCACACTCTCAGTGTCTCTTATTACTGGTCACTGGTTGTGAGCTTGTATGGTAACTATTATTATTAAGAGTGCTTGACATAGAGTGACATCGCAGATCACCTCATCGTTAGCCTGTATAGGTAACATGGAAGTGCAATAGCTAAGAAAAAATTATCAGTCTCAGCAAGCTTTTCTGACCTGTGCACCTCCAAATAATCTCAGGTCTTAGTGAAATTTCAGTCAATGAAAGACTCTCTTTCAGCCAGAAATAAGGTAGTAGCTGGCTCTTAGCTATATCCAGGGAGCAGGCATGTCCTTGGGCCACATACATGAGTGGTGAAGCCTGCAGTGGATTGATCAGGCAAGCAAAGGAACTAGGTGAGACGCAGAGAAGTGAGCCCGCACTAACAGGGCTGTCACTAAGTTTTGAGTCACCGGGAGCCTTGTTCTCCACACCCCTAGCAAACTTTTTACTTTGTGGGTGAATTCTATCAACAACAGGCAATTTCACCCGTAGCTTAAGGGAAAATCTAGCATACTCGGCCCTTAATGACAGCCCTGTCTGATATTTGCTAATATTTCTTTTCCACCCCACAAACTGCAGGAATTGATAAGCAAATAACAGTCAATTTAGTTAGAAGCATCTATAATTGTGATTTTATAATTAGATTTTTGCTTCTGTAGCCTGTGCATGCACAATAGGAAATTGAGGGGCTAAGAGCAGAGGTTCTTTCTTGTCTCTTGCTATTGTAGGGTATGTGTTAAGAGACTGTGGCATGACATGAGTACTATACTCATGTGATCAGCCAGTTGTATGAACAGGAAATTTTGCAGAGTGAAAACCAAACTGGACACTAAAAGTTTTATATTGGAGTTTTGAGCCCATGGCTGGCATTTATAGTCATCACAACTCAACAGAGACAAGAGCAAATTCACTTGTTCATACCAGTCTTGTGGCCTTACAAGTCATGCATGACCCAAATATGAGCTTGCTTATGTAACCCGAAGTTTTACTATCAAAAGTACTCAAAAGAACATTTTGGATTTTCTGAAGGCAAGGGGGCATAAAATATTCATGCTACCATTACATTTGCTAGGGAGTTATACTAGGAAAATTGTTTCACTCGCCCATTAACATTGTTCAATGAGAATAAATTTGAATAAGCTAAATTCATTTATAAGTTATCTTAAATAAAATTAACCAAAAATATTCATTGCTTTACTAGGAAATAAATTCTCGCTGCACTTTTGTAAAGCTTCAAGTTTACAAAACAACCTTAAACACCAAGCCAGTATCAAAGCAAGTTGAAATCAGAAAAAAATTGGAAAATGTCTGTGTTTTATAATTATCTAGCCGTGCCTTATGTAACTTTAAATCAAAATCGAAAAGTTGGCGCCAAGTAACAAGAAAATTCAGGCGCCAAACTTTTCATGAACCGAAAATCAATTTGCGGAGTTATTTGGTTCAACACAGAAAAATGAAACATTAAGCTTATGTAAGACTTTCAGTTAGCTTAGCTTAAATTATGTCATAGTAAACAATAGTTCGATAGCAGTCAAAATTAGACCAGCAAGAAGTTCAGAACCGTTCCAAAATGACATAACTGTTTTCAGTTGATTCTAACGCCCGCGTACCTACGATTCATTAATTCATGATAAGCTCTTACTCGGTTCGGCTCAAGAAAAGTTCGACGTATTAAATGGGCAACACTAAAGCGTGAAGAAACAATTATCTTACCTTCGCTGTACAGAAATACCATACTGATCACCATACAGAGAGGATGGTAGTTAAACTCAAGTCCTGAGCCGTCCCAAGCGAATCCACCTAGATATTTTCCCATCCATATGCCCGTCAAGATCATCGCCAAAATACCCAGAATTTGAATGGCGCCCACAGAAACGATGAACGTGACCGGTGAACCTACGTCTCGATCTAAATGGTTTGCCATGGCCGAAAAGTTTGAGGCCAATAGCTTATCTGGATCGAAGAATTCAGGTTTTTTTGGCTATCAAATTCAAGGGAGCTTCAGTAGATCTGAAAGAAGACAATCTGTTGCCGCAGCGCGGGAGTTGTCGTTCGTTCCCTCGTTGTTCTTCAAAATAAATATGCACCTGACTTGTTTCAGTCAAACTTATCCCTTATGGGGAGGGCTCGGTAACTGTTGTTATGGTCGGTCTTTGTTATTCCTATCTTGATAAAAGTTAGAACTTTACTTTTTTGGAATGAAGTAAATTCAAAATTTAAACTTTTTACCACTCTCCTTTCTACCAGGGCATATCTTTTTAAACAAATGTTCACACCTGTACAAGAAAACTAATTACCCACTCCCACTCAGGACCTAGTTTGCATACATCCCATCTCATTGGCAAATCCCCAGTGAATTACCCCGGAGTGTTTCCGATTGTCATTGGCCAATGAAAAATATCGTACAGCACCCCCGACAATCGTGTCGGATTTTTGTCGAGCCGACGTGTTAGAGGACATTCACTTTCGAAGTGCGCAATTTCCATCTACGATACGACGCTGGCTTTTGTTCAGATCCTTGAATGGTCTTCAATAATTGGCGTATATATAATAATTCCCCAAGCTGATCAACATGACTCCAGTTCTGATAATTGCGATCAGTCTTTTGGGAACAATAATGATGGCATCGCTTCTCGCCTTGTTGCTGCTCCTTTGCACCAAGCGGAGATGTCGGAAGGCGCAATTAGCCCGAACACAGTACCAGTAAGTTAAAATAATATGCAGCAATTTAAATTATACATACAGGCTTAATTGTTTATAAGTGCCCTATTCAAGGCATAGCGTGGTCAGCACCTAGCTACAAACTGCACAATATAACTCATAAAATTTAAATTGAAGTCCCTGAAAGTTTCTTACGACTTTGAGGAAGTAAAATCTCAATGAAATTTTAGAACGCTGAGCTATTGGGTTAACCGCGTAAAGTACAATTTTATAAGCGATTCACGGTCTCACTAGTTACATTTTTAGTAATTTTAATAAATATTTATTAAAGTTAATTTTATTTGCAAAGTTTCCTCGTGAATATCGTCCTCTGCTAGCTAACTATAAGACTCAATTACCTACAAAACTTTTGGGGACCTTGGGTCATACGAATTCACCCCTTCCATCAATAATTTCAAACAGTAACGCCTTCTTTAGGGACAAGAAAACTTAAAGAAGGTCTTTATTCACGAGTGATTTCACTGCATCGTGAGCTAAAATGTCAGGCGTCATTGAGAATGCTGACCAATGTTTTGTCTTGAAAAAAATTGTGAAAATGTGGGTCATATAAAGAAGACTTGTCACTCTTATTTCTTAGGAATTCCTTTATCTTCTGACATGTCATCAATGAAACCCGACCAACTGACAGTACTTAGTATTTTTCTAGGGGGGTTTTGGACACAAAATGGCAAAATGATGAAATGGCACCATGGGAAAGAGTCAGTGAGGAATACATGTGTCTGTTAATTAAGAAATAGAAAACCGTGTACTGTGTTTCTATTGAGTTCTAGTACAAATCTACTAATGTTCTATCATGAATGCCGTTCGCTGATTGGCTATGCTACTCTCTATCTAGTCTGTGATAGATAGTGAGTAGCATAGCAGTGTGCGCTTGTTAACAAAGTAACGGCCGTTTCTTGGCATTTCCAAAGTGTCTTTGAAGAGGATTTAGATAAATTTTTGAACAACTAGTAGAATTTTATACTAAAACAATTAGATTATTCGCTCTTGATTCCTAAGCGTGATAGTTGACTCGGGCTGCGATAGAAATCTTGAGCTCATAATCTAATTGTTTAATAGAAACACGAGCGGAAGTTTGGAAGAAAGAGAACTAGTTTGAGTTCTCCCAGACTTTCGTGAATGTTTCTATAAGTCAATAGAAACACGGAGAACATGTTTTCTATTTCTTTTAGAAAACAATGCAATGAAAAAAGTAAAACAACTTGTTAACTTTGATTTTCAAAATGTAAATTATCTTTGCTCACGCCATCATTACATCAACAGCTCGTGCTAGTTCTGTGTTTCTATTAAGTTATAGAAACACCATTTTTAACCAATCAGCACACGTATTTTCTTAGGACTGTTTTCTAAACCCATATAATTATTTAATATATACAGACCATACTGTATGTAGCTTCCTTGTTGGGGTTACTGTTTGAAATCACTGAAGGGGCTGTGACCTGATCAATGACCCAAAATCATCAGAATCCTGAACAGTCTCAGACCAAAATATGTCATTTTCCAAACCTTCTTCCAGGGGATTACACATTATTGCCAGTTATAGTCTTCCTTTTGTTTTATTGTGTGCAGGGAACAGGATGCAGAAATGGTCAAAGCAACATGGAATAAGTCCCATGGTGAACTGGGACTTGGTGGATACTCCCCTGAGGACGATCTGGTAATCAAACAGCGTTACAAACAATGTGACCAACATTGTAAACTGTAAACAGTGAACTGTTTTTTCTTTGATGTCATAGTATTCACAATGTTGCCCACTCATGGCATTTGGCGGAAAACAGTTTCATTGTAAGATGTCATGTGACCATGAACTAGCCAATGAATCGATGCGACATTTGATGTCATGTGACCATGAACTAGCCAATGAATGGGAAAAACACCAGCTATATAACAATGGTGATTGTAAATGGAGCCTGCATGCACATGTAAGGACTGTGTCGTGTGCAACACTCTAAATATTGATCTCTAAGATCACAACACTTCCAATAATAAATGATTGCTAGCCGTTATTTCAGTTAACATTTTGATTGGTAAATAATTTCTTCTAAGGGATAACGAGCCCCATTTTCCAGTTAGGGAAGGACATGATAATGATGACGATGCTGATGGTAACGGGCTGCTTGACAAGTTGTTGTATTGTTATAGTCACTTTCTTTTCATATTCTTTGTTAGCCTGAGATGTTTCTGGACCCAGACTGGAATGGTGATGCAGAGTAAGTAACTTCTTCCTTCGGCATGTATCTGTTGTCAGAGATTATCTTTTTAATGTGGATACTAAATGGTAGCTTGCATCTAGGAGTATTCAGACAGTTANGCTAAAGAGTGCTTGATAAACGAGGAGGAGTTAAGTCAGTTTTAGAATCGATTGATCACAAGACAGGGGTTTCAATAACATTAGTTATAAGCGGCCACTGAAGGTGTAATAGGCGGCCGTAAGGCCCCTTTCCCCTAGGGGGTCTGGGGGCATGCCCCCCCACCCAGAAAAATTTGGAATCTAGAAGTTCGGAAATGCGATATTAATATCATTTTTATTTTCAGTAATGAAATCCAAACAGACGGTGGTAAGAGGTCCTACAGGTGGCAATAGACTGCTGGTAACCGGCTTTTATTGAAACCCCTGCCAAGTAGGCAAGATAGCTCCATCTTGCCTGCTCGGGTAGCCAATCACAGCGCAGAATTTGGTTAATCTTGCCCACTCACAGCGCTAGCCACATGATAATGATTATAGATGAAGGCTAGCACTTTGGACCTTGAATCACCCCAGGGTAATAACACGTAGTTAATTCTCTCACATACATACAGAAACGTGATATCAGACTGTATCGAGTTGTTAAAGTCCTGTCATCTACTTACGGAACAACTTGTTGCTTATACTATGGAAAGCAGTGGTATGATCAAATCACCAACGGAAGTCGATAACATTGTGGCTGCGGCCAAGAATATTAGGCCAAGGTAATATCTGGATATTTATGTTATTTTTAAGNACAATTCTGTTTCCAGATATGGTTGTGGTTTCGGATTTGAACAAAAATATTGGTGGATCAACGGATTTGGTGAAAAAAAAGCACGGATCGGCGGACCTCTAGACTACACTCACATCATCTTGGAATCCAAGGGGAGATAAATCAGTGCCCGTTTTGTAACCAGACTACAAAACATATTTTTCATTAGCAAGTGGTGTAAGTACATGTAACGTCCTGTTCCGCAAATATGTTCGTTCGGAAATCCTTGAAGTGTGTTCATTTGGATTTCTTATGATCTATGAATAAAATAATGAGACAGCTGTGTCTGAGGAGGTGGGAACTACATTTGTCTCCAGTTAACCTAATTGTTTGTGTGGTTTGTGTTGAGGCATTTTTAAGAGAAGCAATTTTGTTCTAAATGAAAATTTCATAATTCTCATTATATAAACCTAACAGCATACTGTCACATACATGTAATTTCAGGTATTTACTGTTGTGAAACCCAAAAAATTACAGTGGTCAATCATGTGCAACATATTACAACATATTGTTATGTAAACAACATCCAATCAACCAATAAGAACATAAAGTGAGCATCTATGTGCAATGTACACAATCAAGCCAAACATATATAACCTTTATTTACCCTCGGCAGTGTTTATAGCACAAAGGCTAGTGAGCTGAGCAAACAACTGAAAGAAATTAATTTATTCAAATGATGTTCGAACATAATATCATTAAGAATCTCAGCTGACCGGAGGCAAACCAGTTGACTATTTACAACCGTGGCCAAGGATTTGAACTCGCGGCTACCGTGAAACAAATCCAGGTAGTGGTCAGAGCGGGACTTGAGCCTGGGACCGCTGGATTATGAATTTGATGCGCTGACCACTGGGACATGCTGCCTTTGGTTTTGTGACTGACTGAATGGGTGCAAAGAGCTTCTAAATCATTACAGCTAAAAAACAAACAAAAAAATAATTAAAAAATTAAATAAATGCTAAAACATTTATTTCATGCAGGCTTATTTGACAGAATATAGTTTCAAAATGTACTACTTAAAGAAAGAATGGACAAGGCCTTTCATTATTATTAATAAAATTTTCAGTAATAATTACATTATAACTGGTACTAAATAATTTTATTTTATTGCTGTACATCAGAGCCAGCTTTCAACTCTTGGTTTTTCCTTGTCTGCAAAAAAGAAAAGGAAAAAAAAAAAATAGGCATTGTGTTTGAATTGATGGTAAATAATACAGTGTCAAGGATAGCTATATTTTGTACTGCAACATTGCACGAAACTGACCTCCTGACACTATTGGGTCAGATTCTGTGATGGTTACTTGTGAATTTTTAATAACTAAAGAAACTCTTATCAATGGAAAGTTTAGAAAAGAGATGGCAAATCAATGGTTCTACGAAAAAAAAAAAGAAACGATTTGCATCCTGTTAAATTTCAGTCAAACTTCACACAGACTTCAAGTCTGTCTTAAACGTTTGCACAAAACATTCTTGGACATTAGTATCTAGTAGATCTCGCTCTCACTATATGTAAACTTCTCAATTACCACACCCCACCCCTGAAAAAGAACTCTTCCTAACCTTGCATTGCACAAAAGAATGAGGTTCTGAACAGCAGAAAGTGTTGATGTGTCATTCTGTCCTGTTATGAGATGTCTGTCAATGATCACATGCATCCCATCTGGTTCACTGGCTGTATAAATATAGATTTAACACACATGTACATACATGTAAATGGGGATTCCCTGGGTTAAGTGCTGGGTATTGAAATGATCTGGGCTTGTGTGGAAACTCTTAAATAAGATGTAGTTTCATTGCAGACTTGCTGCTTTATATCAATGGGAAAAGGTCCTGGGGTCTTGGGGATTCCCTGGAATTTTGTTTTGATACTCGTGGTGTAGTAGGGAAGAACTCGCTGGTTTATATCCAAAACCTGGAGTTTTAAGTGGAGCCTCTGAGTTTATGTAGTGGAGGCGCGGTGGCCTTATGGTTAGTCCGCTTGTCCCTGGATTAAGCAGCCGATTTCGAGCCCTGGCCGGGGACATTGTGTTGTGTTCTTGGGCAAGACACTTAACTCTCACAGTGCTTCTCACCACCCAGGAGTATAAATGGGTACCAGCGAATTGTTGGGGAAACCTAACAAATTGCGGGGGAGTGACCTACGATGGACTAGCATTCCACCCAGGGGGAGTAGGAATACTCCTGGCCACTTCATGCTACAGAAACCTGAATAAGCTCCGGCAGCTATGAGCAAGTCGGCTCCAAGGCTTCACTTTCTGGGTTCATGTATGTTTATGTCCCAAAATTGGGGGGTGATTTCTTGAGTTCAGCAAAAGTCTCCTGTTAGGAGAGACCTAGTTTTCAAGGGATTTCTCAGCCTGTTGTGTTTTTAGGATTAACAAAGCTCTGGGTTCAGTTTAATTAAGGATCTCTTGGATTAAGGGATTCCCCACAGAGTTAAGTGTATTCCCTAGGTTAGTGAAGCTCCTGTAGTTTACCTCAGTGTAGGGGTGGATCGAGGGGGAGGGTGCAGGGGGTGTGCACCTCCCCCCCCCCTGATCGCCTGAGATAACATATTCCCTTTTAAAATTTGTTTGCCTCACCAGTCCGTTATGCCATTCCTTAGTGGTCCACCCTCGATCTGCCCCTGCAGTGGGTATGTGGGGATTCCCTACTTAGTAGGCTTCCCTTGGCTGAGTGGATACTACCTGCAGGCTTAGTTGGGGGATTCCTTGTAATGAATGGGTTAAATGCCAAAACTCTTAGTTTTATGGCCCGGGGAACTCTTGATTTAAGCTGGTTAAACCTTCCTGACTGCATAAAGACTCACCACTGTATGTTCCACCATTATCTTTGATCCAGTCTTCAAGGATGATAGGTAGACTCGCAAATTCTGGTGAGCGGGCTGATTCAAAAACTGAAGGCTAAAGTACACAAGATAAATACAATCAGAATGTTACCATCACAATGTATCTCTCACCTGTAGATTATGGCTTGGATAATACTAAAAATTAATTAAATCTTATTTTTTAATTGATATCATTAGAAAAACAATATTTTTGTGTGAGTAACTGATAAAAATATTTATAGACCACTGGTAATTTTGTTACCCCTGTCATGCTATAACTCTTGAAACTCCAAGATTTTCCGTCCTCTCGTTTTGCTGAGCAAAGTCCAGCAACCCCATGTCCTACAGCACAGATGGGCTCTGATTTAAAAAATAATGCAGTCATATCATTGAAGGCTTGTACGTTCATGCATGTAGACCTATCATCAGTACTTACAGATTCTATGTACTTGCAGGGAATGCAAGACAACCTTGTCAATGTGTAATCTGCTTGTCATATCGGATTCCATGAGTTAGCTAAGAGATGAGCCATTATTTGTTACTATTACTGATAAAATCAAAATAATTGTACTCAAACAGCGTACAGCTGTAACATTTGATACCCACTTTTTTCTTGGACAAATGCATTAAGGAGCTTAGCTAGCTCATTATCTTTAGCCAGGTCATGAAGGGCTCCTGGGGAACTTGGGAGAAGTACTGCACCATACCTAGCCGCTGGAAAGAAAACAAACTTCCTGTAAATGATAACCGAAGATAAAAAAGCTCCATTAATAATGCAAGTCATACTATACCTAAAAGAACTCTGTACACCTAAAAGAACTCTTTACACTTAAAAGAACTGTTAATGAGAATGGCCAGTTCCTTCCATGAGATGCGCTGCAAGGAATCATGGTTACTGTAGTGGTATTCGTCAAAACAAATATCCATGGATACAACTATAACTGATTATTCCTTGCAGGCCCATCTCATGGAGGGAATTGGAAATTACATATTCCCTGAAACGAGATGCAAAATGAACCACTGTGTAGATTCACCCCCCCTCCACCCCTCTGGAAATTCCAATTAGACTTCAGACATTTCTTTAAAAATGTTTTGGTCTTACAGAGTCCCCCACCCCACAGAAAATTCCAATTATCTTTGCTGTGGGGCGTGTATGGATATTTTCTAGAACTTTCCCAAATTACTGGGATGCAAAATTGAATACTTACATGTAGCATGTATTATTTTTGCAATATTTAATCCAGCCTTTATTTCTCTCAGGACTTCCTCTGAGAATACTCCCAGTAAACTCTTAGATTAAACTTAAGTCTGTAAAATACATGCAAAGTCTAATTTTATCTGTTTTCCCATAACTGCAGCATATTTGGCATTAAGTTGAAACAATACCAATATTATAATTTACAAATGCTCACCATCAACATTTTCAAGTTTTCCAGGAACTGAAAAAGGCTTGGTCCGAAACTCATTCAACCATTTTCTACTGTTTTCATCTGCCTTCACAAAGTCTATTTGCTGACCCTGGAGGGACAAAGAGTTTTCGTGTTCTATATAATATGTCCATCTGGGGAGGAATTTTACAAGCGAGATTATATAACAATTATCTACATGTAACAGCTTTCTGATAACTGGGAAGAAGCTGGGTTTGGACAATACAGCACAAGACTAGTTTAAACCCCTCCTCAGGGTTGCTTACATTTACCAGGAACCCATGTAGAGAGTTTTAAGAAAATTGAACAAAATGTTGATAATCTCTGTTGAAAATGTAAGACACACTAAGAAACATAAATATACATGCATCTGCATAGCAACAGATAAAAAATCTGCCACTTAATTAAATGCTAGTTTCCAATTGTTGATCTCCTTAGAGTATGTTAGTCAAAGCCATGGGTCCCATAATCGGAACTGGGAGACCCAGGCAGAACAAGTGCTGGTGAATGGTAAAATTAAATTATGTACAACTTTGCAAATGGTAACAACAGAATATCTGTACTGTAAACTCCAGAGCTTTTTATCCTTACGAAAGAAATCAAGACTCAGAGACTTCTGAGAGAGGTTGACATTGCACCTCAATGTGGGTACATGAATCTCTTGATTGATATACCTTCATTTAAACATGACAATGTTTAAAGCTGAAAGCTTACATGAGGTCATGTGTCTTCAGAGTCAGCTCTAAAATTATCTTAATACATGTATGCATCTCCAATTGAATACAAATGTAACCAGAAATATATAAAATCTTGGTCTGCTCAGTAAAATCTAATGAAGAGGAAATTGACATAGGACTGAATTCCAATATCTTTTTTTTTACAAGGGGTTAAGAAATGCAGCAATTCTCTAATATTCAATGGGATGTGCAAATTATTTCAGGTGGCCCTTGTCAACTAAATCATTAGCTAGGAATTGAGGTAGGGGTGTGAAATGGGCCATTTAATATCTGCACCACCCCTACCCACCCCTCACCCCCCTCACCACTTTTGAGGGTCTAGTAAATCTGAGGGGAGAGGGTCTTTGGAGGCCATTTCTGAGGGGGCTACTTTGTTGGTACTTCTGATCTTTTATAAATTCTGAGTGGGGAAGTGCGTCGGCACTGTG